CCCAAAGGAATTGAGATCATCATTTTGAAGAGATCTCTGCACTCCCATGTTCACTGCAGCATTACTCACGATACGCAAGATATGAAAACAACCTAAAAGTCTTTCAATGTGTGAGTATAAAGAAAAGGTGGCAAACATACACACACACACACACACACACAGAATATTACTCAGCCACAAGGAGGAAGGAAATCTTGCTATTTGCAACATGGATGAATCTGAAGGGCATTATGCCAAGTGAAATAAGCCAAGCAGAGAACGACAAATACTTTCTGCAGAATCTAAAAAATCCCCAACTCATTTCAAAGAATAAAATTATGGTTGCCAGTAGGGATAGTGGCAGGGGGAACAAGGAAAATGCAGTACAAATTGTCAATTATAAGCAGCATAAGTTCCAAGGATTTAATGTACAGCATGGTGAAGAGAGTTAATAATATGGTACTGTAAACTTCAAAGATGTTGAGATCTTAAGCATTCTTACCCCCAAAAAAGAGTTAAGCGAGGTGGTAGATATGTTAATTATTTTGATCTTAGTAATCATTCCAGAATATATACATATACCAAATCACAATGTTGTATACTTTAAATATATACAAGTATTTGAAAAGTACTCCTCAATAAAGCTATATTAATATTAAAATTATAATATAAAATTAAATATAAAATTGATATAAATAAAAATTTATAAATATAAAATTAAAATATAAATATTGAAATTATAAAAGTATTCCTCAATATAGTTACATATTAAAATATTATATAAATATTAAATTTTATAAATTGTTAAAGTCTTGCTGCCCTTGGCTCTAACTTTAGGCTCTGGAGCTACATCTCTACTTGTATGCTTCAAAAATAAACACCTGACATATTTATGTCCCATTTAACATTTCCCACACTCCCTTCTTGCATGCTGGGAATTCATTTCTATAAAAGTAATAATCAAGGTCAATGAAAATTTTGTTCATTGCACTTGGGAGCCAAAGGGCACCTGAAAAATCTATTACTAATTTATTTCTGAGAGAATTTAACTGTCCCAGTGCTATGTTAAAGGAGAGCTGGGGCTCAGTTATCACTCATCTTGGTTTCTCAGTGATTTAAAATGTGTACACATAACTGAACTCAATACTTGAAACATGGCAAAACTGTATGTATAGTAAAATTATTAACTTCTTTGACTGAGATCTGAAACTTTAAAAGCTGACCTTTAAAGTAGATTAGTTTTTAATCAGCTGCATCATACTACATCAAGTAAAATTCCTGCTATTTTCATCTGAACTACTAAGGCTTCCACATCTTGTCAGTGCAATTTAAAAAAAAAAATCAACAATTGTAGGATTACACTTCTTTCTCCATAAATGTCATCATATTGGTTTCAGCTCAGCAGTTTATCCTATTAATTTCAATTCTGAAACCTGGTTTGTTATTACAGTGATTCCCAAATGTGACCTATTAGCAACAGAAATCATTCTGAATGCATTAAAAAAAAACACATAAAAAATTCCAAGGCCCCTCTTCAGACAGTCTGATTCACTAGGTATAGGTGAGCCAAGAAGTCTACACTTCTATACAAGCCCCCAAGTAACCCCCAAATAGCCATATTTGAGAATCACTGTTCTCTCATACTCATTAATCCAAAACTGAAGACAGCTACTCAAATAAATACAAATACACACATACTCACAGCAGCACTATTCACAATAGCAAAAAGGTGGAAATGGGGGTGGAGGGATGGGTAAACTAAGCGATGGACATTTAGGAGCACACGTGATGTAATGAGCACTGGGTATTATATAAGACTGATGAATCAATGACTCTACCTCTAAAACTAATAATGCATTATATGTTAATTAATTGAATTAAAAAATAATTATCACAAAAAAATAAAAAGTGAAGTTTAAAAAAAGGTGGAGCTAAAATTAACAAGTCAGGAAATGACAGGTGTTGGCGAGGATGTGGAGAAAGGGGAACCCTCCTGCACTGTTGGCAGGAATGCAGGCTGGCGCAGCCACTATAGAAGACAGTATGGAGGCTCCTCAAAAAATTCAAAATAGAGCTACACTACAATCCAGCAATTGCACTATTGGTATTTACCCCAAAGATACAAATGTAGTGATCTGAAGGGGCACCTGCACCCCAATGTTTATAAGTAGCCACATCCACAATAGCCAAACTATGGGAAGAGCCCAGATGTCCATAGAAAGATGAATGGATAAAGATGTGGCATATATATACAATAGAACATTATGCAGCCATCAAAAAACTGAAATCTTGGCATTTGCAATGATATGGATGGAACTAGAGGATATTAATGCTAAGTGAAATAAATCAATCAGAGAAAGAAAATTATCATATGATCTTACTGATATATGGAATTTGAGAAACAAGGCAGAGGATCACAGGGGAAGAGAGGAAAAAATGAAACAAGAAGAAACTAGAGAGAGAGAGACAAACCATAAGAGATTCTTAATCTCAGAAAACAAACTGAGTGTTGCTAGAATGGAGGGGGGGTGGAAGGGATAGGGTGGCTGGGTGATGGACACTGGGGAAGGTATATGTTGTGGTAAGTGGTATGTATTGTGTAAGACTGATGAATCACAGACCTGTACCTCTGAAACAAATAATATATTATATGTTAACAATAATAAAACATATATATTTTTTAAAGGTAGAAACAGCCCAGATGTTAACTAATTGTAGTATATATACAATGTAGTATACATACAATGGAATGGTTAGGGTATCACATTTGTCGTGTGGTCATAGTAATGAGCAAACAGATCCTACAGTTTCCTATTGATTTTCATCCTCTTTCCATTTCTTGCCAAATTTCTCTAATGAGTGGGCTCTAACTGCCCCTTTTCTTACCTTTGCATTTTCTCTCCAGTTAATTTTCTTTAATCTGTCTAGTTTAACAAACATCAGCAGTAAAGCAGTGTTAAATAATTTTAATTCATAGCTAAGCTGAACATAGTTTGACTATGATACTTACCAGCTCAGGAAGGGAAGCTGTTGAAAATTCTCCAAATTGGGAATTACCACACTGGCAGAATGGAAAGTCAACAGAATGAATGAATCTAGGCTCCTGGTAAGAACACTGAAGATGGCTGACAACAGGGTCCACGCTGGGTAGGGTCAAATGTCAAACCTAATCACATGGATTGCTCTCTTTCTTCCTTCAGGGCTTTAGTCACATGTCACCTTTTTAGTGAGGCTTTCTTTGGTGATCCTTCTAAATCTCAACCTTCCCCCATCATCTCAACAACCTCTATTCCCCTTTCCAGGTTTACTGTCTTCCACAGTAATTAACTCTGAATCACAAGCTACATATCTTACTTATTTAAATTGTTTATTGTTTGCCTCCAACTAGAATGTAAGCTCTATATTTTAGTCTGTTCCGTTAGCTGCTATATCACCAGCATCTAGAATGGTGCCTAGAATATATCAGATTATTTGATAAACATTTATTGAATTACTAAATTTCACTCTCAAAGTGAATAAACAAGCAAGCTGTATCCTGGCCCGTCTTAAATTTTTTGTCCGAGTAACTTGCTTGATGCAGTTTTTTTTTCAAGATTTTATTTATTTGAGACAAAGAGAGAGAGAAAGAACATGAGCTGGGGTGGAAGAGGCAGAGGAAGTGGGAAAAGCAGACTCCCCACTAGGCATGGAGCCTAATACAGGGCTCGATCCTGGGACCCCAAGATCATGACCTGAACCGAAGGCAGACGCTTAACCAACTGAGCAATCCAGGTGTCCCTGCTTGACATGGGTTTTTTTCTTTGTTTGTTTGTTTTAAGTAGGCTCTGCCCAATGTGGGGCCTAAACTCACGACCCCAAGATCAAGCCCAGAGCTGAGATCAAAAGTCAGATGCTTATCGACTGAGCCACCCACACGTTCTGCTTGACGTAGTTTTTAAATAAAGTGGGCACAGGATTTCTTGCCAAAGAAAAATATGCTTCTCTATGACGATACATAGTCTTGGTATCACGAATCAGTATACATCTCAAGAAGCAACTGCATATTACTATTAAAATAAACTGCTATTTCTATTTTTTCTAAGAGTCCCTTCTTTATTTATTTGAGAGAGAGAAAGAGTGTATGAGTGCCCATTAGGCAGGGAGGGGCAGAGGAAGAAGGAGAGAGAAACCAGCAGACTCCACACTCAGCACGGAGCCCCACAGGAAGCTCTATCTCATGACCCTGAGATCACGACCTCAGCTGAAACTAAGAGTTGGGCTCTGGTGTTCCTGAGTTGCTATTTCTAAAAGGCAATCTCAAACTATTATAATAGAGGATGATCAAAAGTTCTGTCAAAGAAGTCAAATCATTTACTTACTAAAGGGTACATAGTTCAGTTTACTCAGGTTGGCAGTCCACGAATTACTTAGTCAATTTATATGATTTAGCACACTAGCCCCCAATTATGAGGAGATTTAAAAATCAAGTTTCTGACATTTCTCTCCCTAAACACCACACCAAACCTACTAAATTAGTAGCTTTATATGGGGGGGGCCCTAGGAATCTGTCTTTTTAAAACATATTCCACCTATATCTACTATATTGCCAAATCAAAAACTACCATTTTAGGAGAGGCATCTCAAGGATCCTCTGATATGGTAAGGGTGACTGACTGATAATACCTGTATACTTAAAGCTTTTCCAGTTCAAAATAATTTAGTCCATGCCCTATGATGCTAAATTTAGGAGATGACAAAGTCTGAATTTTTTGACACGGTAACAAGATGGATTTTAATTAACTATGATCAACATTCTTTAAAAGTTTCCTAAAACTTCTGAATATATTTAACACAAAAATCAGTTATAGCCAGCAGAGTGTCCTAAAGATATATATATTAGTTTTCCTTTGGTTTTTATATTTTACAGTATGAATTATAACAAAGGTTTTTAATTTAAGAAACCTACAAAGGATAAGAAAGAAATCTACTAAAGGAATAAGATCCTTGGATAAGATACAACTCACAGTCCATTTAAAATTTACCTTCTCATGGGTCGAGTTTTGAGATCCTTTAAGTACACACATCCATCTATTCGATGACCACGGGCCTCACCAAAAGCTAAGAATAATCAATGAAGGATTAATGTTGGTCAAATAAAATTAATGAGGTAAATTTTGTGACAAGATCCTTGGATTTTGTTCACCAACTAACAGATTATATAATAAAATGATTTATTGTGGTAGCAGTGATGAGATCCTAAAAATTTTTATTTTATATAAAAACATCACAACCTTAATTTTTAATGTTCCTGTGTTTTCTTTTTTCATAATAAATGGCTATATGAAAAATCTACTTAAAAATGTATTAAGTTGAGAAGGTATTAACGAAAGGCAATAACTAAATAAAAAAGAAATAAATCATTATTTTCTATATTTTAATTCATTTAAATGGCACTAGATATTTTCATAACATTGGTCCTTGCTTTTAGCTAAACTTTCTAAAAATACCTTGAATTGCTGTATCTGGATCCCAGCCTTCAACATCGATAAGGTACCTGAATTAAAAATATCATTTTAATTTTACAATATAGGTAAGGCTGAACTTTAAAATTTTCTTCTCAAGAAGACAGACTTGAAAATTTAGCACCTATATCATTCTTACCTACATATAAGGTATCCTGTTCTGTTAATTCCATTGGTACAATGAACTCCAATGAGTTTATCTATAAAATGTGAAGAAATATTAAAAAGTATGAAAAAATTTAAGATGAGAAAAGTATAACATGTTTTATAAGTAATTTATAATTTTTATAAAAATTCTACCACTAGAATTCTTAGTCATTAAATTTAAATCTAGTATGTTAAAAGGACACTATCAAAGATACAGAAAAGAAACAGGCTTTTTATGTTGACCCTACTGTATCAAAAGGTAAATTTTTAAGGATAACCATACGAAGGACAAAGTTTGTGTCATGATCATGAATAACATGCTTCAAACATTATTCAGAAAGAAATAATTTTAAACTTACTTCTTTGATCTTAATTGCCTCTGCATTTAGTGAAATGTACTAATACTTTCTGGTTAATATAAACACCTATGACATCATTTCTCCTTTAAGGCACATTATTTAAAACCACAGTTGAATAATTAGAAGTAAGATCAATCTACTGATCTTTGTGGATGGGCCAGGAACCTTTTTTTGCATGGTGGAAATGACCTATCTTAAAAAATTTCCGTATAGTGAGGTTAAAGTTTGAGTACTTCCTTGGAGAAGATGGATTTTGAGAGCCATATTCATCTTCTGGGTACGAATTCTGAGGAAATTTTTCAGCAAGATTCATGCTCTAGATGTTTTTTCTTTACGTGTATTCATTCACCTTTCCTAGCCTGCCAATTGCCAGAACTTCTCAAAAGAGCTGATTTGGGACCTTTCTTTAGGACCATGTGTGAAGAAAGATTCAGGAAGCATTCATTTAGTGTTTGTTAGGACATTGTTTTCAACTGGCACTGAATTTTCAACTGGCACCCACATTTCCAAGTCTTCAAATTATTTTCAAATACTATAAATTTTAGGGTGAACATATTTAGAATCAATTTATAGTAAGAGATTTTAGAAACCTATTTTCATTATTTTGCGGTCTGAATGAAATGGAATTCATTTTTGTAAAAATAACAGAACTGATTTATGGCCTTTTTATATGAAGAATGATCATTATCTGAAATATTTTTCTCAATACGCACATATTTTTTCAAACATCTCCATATGGCTTTATACACACACAGACACACACATACACAAGGGTGAGGTTTTCATTTGAGCAATGATAGCTCAGGTAATTCCAGCTGAATCTATCTGGCACCTCAATGAGTTCAGAGTCTAGTATGGGAAGAGCCATAAGTAAACAAAGCATTTGCCATAATACATAATATATGATGAATGCACACCAATGTGTTATGTGAGTACATAAGAAAGAGCCGTTAAATTTGCACTGGGACAGAGGTTTCAGAGGTAGTTTGAAAGAAACACTGAGATAATCCTGAGAAATGAGAGGAAGTCCACCAAGAACAAGATGGAAAACATTTCAATAAAGGAGTTGAGTGTACAAACACTAGGAGGATAGATAGGACTTGTGTGGGAAATAGACATGTGAGACATATGGGAAACAAATCTAAGAGGCTTTTAGAGGGGCACCTGACTGGCTCGGTCAGAGAGTGTGCAACTCTTGATTTTGGGGTCATGAGCACGAGCCCCATGCTGGGTGCAGCAGTTACTGAAAAAATAAATAAACTTATATAAAAAAGAGGTTTTTAACCCACTGAGCCACCCAGGCACCCCTTTTCTTTTCTTTTTTTTTTTTTTTAAGATTTTTATTTCTTTATTTAACAGAGAGAGAGAGATCACAAGTAGGCAGAGAGGCAGGCGGAGAAAGAGAGGAGGAAACGGGCTCCCTGCTGAGCAGAGAGACGGATGTGGGGTTCGATCCCAGGACCCTGAGATCATGACCTGAGCCGAAGATAGAGGTTAAAAAAGAGGTTTTTAGAAAGGACGCCAAGAATCAAGTAATGAAGCATTATGTTAAGGAATCTGGTGCTTATTAGATGGGATACCACTGAAGGATTTTAAGCAAGAAAATGACATAATCAGATGTGCATTTTATTTTATTTCTTTTTATTTATTCATTTGAGAGAAACACAGAGAGAAAGATCACAGGGAGGAAGGCTGCAGAGGAAGAGGGAGAAGCAGGCTGCCGCATGAGCAGGGAACCCGATGCGGGGCTCAATCCCAGGACCTCAAGATCATAACCTGAGCTGAAGGCAGTTGCTTAACTGAGCCACCCACATGCCCCAGATATGCATTTTAGACAGATAAATTTGTGGAAGTCTGGAGGAATGACTGGTGGAAGGAGAGACAAGAAATCTATGCAGGAGGCCACCAAAATAACCCAGATCAGAGAGGGCAAGAGTAGATCTGGGAAGGTAGGGGCAGGAGAAGGAAGACTAAGAGTTCAGTTTTTGATGTGTTCAGTTTATTGGTGCCAGATGAACCCTGAACACTGACATGGAGTTCAGGAGAAAGGTTTGTGCTAGAGATACTGATATAGGGGGCCAAAGTTAAAAATAGGAAAAGATGAGACAAAGTAAAGTGAAAAGACTTTTTTTTTTTTTTTTTAATCAAACCATTGTATTGAGGGGATTAGGGAAGGAGTGGAAGGACTGGGAGGACAATGAGATCTGACATCCAGGATCTCCCCAGCTTTGCAGTTGCCAAAAGCAGGACAGATTCTTAAGAAGAGTAGGCATCAAGGATTTGAGCAGGACAAAAGGCAGAGAGGAAGTAGGGGAGAGGGATTATTAGTAAAGAAAAGAAAACTTAAAAAAAAATATATTAGCTAGAAAACTGAAAAACACTTAGGTAGGAAAAAATTGAGGAAAACAATATCATAGAAGCCAAAAGGAAAATTTTAAGGAAGGAATGAACAGCAGAGGTTAAGCTTACAGAGATTTAAGCAAGATAGGGATAGAAAACTATTCTTTGAATTTCTACAATCTTCCAATTGAACTATAATTAGAGAGTTGTAGAAATCAGATTATGGGTGGTCAATAAGAATCTCTTTAGTGAACAGTAATGGAATGGGCACAATGAACAGGGACAACTCTTCCAAAAGTGTAATCAGCAGAGGAGGGAAACAGAGCATGAAAGAAAGAATTAAGGTTGCAAGAGGGAAAAGAGAGGATCATTTTAAGACATAGGAGAGAGCCATGCTTGTTTATATGTTGGTATTACAGAGTTGAGAATAAATAAAGAAAATGTCCTGAAGAAGGCAGGATTGGAGGAGAGGTAGAGGTCTGGTCTGCTTTTCTTAGGAAAACAGAAGAAAGGAAGAATATGCGAGTATGGATACAGGTGAAAGTAAGAAAGAGACCTCTGTTTTTCTTGAGAAGTGGGGAGCTATGCTATATGAACTGAGGAAGGAATGTGTTGTAGGCAAAATTCAGAAGCAGATGAGTGAATTGGTTGGGGATAGGGAGAGGACTGCCAAGCAGCAGTAAGAACCCAACTGAAACTCTTAACCAACAACCCACGGTTGGCACCCAGATAACACTGTGGAGATATTCTCTCTAACATGCAAGAGAAGAGAAGGAGGACTGTTGGATTAAACTAGGGATGAGTATTTTTGCATTAGAATTTAGAAAGTATTTCTTAAAGATCTACTAGTGACTAACTTTTGGAATAAAGATAAAAAAGGGATATGTATTGTTAAAAAGGAGAGAGCAAGCCCAAACTGGAATCACTTAACTAAACCCCACCAAGACTTAATACCTAACTTAAATGTAGCTTCAGCTTCTCCCAGAAATGTGACTTTTAACCAGCCAACTTGGAATTTACTGGGCAGCTCAAGAAGATAATCTAACAGACCCTTTGCGTTCCCCATAGAAGGGTGACCTTAACCTAAAACAATGTGTTCTTTACCAATAATTTCCTCTCTGCCTTTAAAAATCTTTTCTTTTCTGGATGGAGCTCCTTTTTATTTGCTAGATGGGATGCTGCCCATTTCATGAATCACTGAATAAAACCAATTTGATCTTTAATTTACTCAGTTGAATTTTTGTTATGTAATAGTATCTTTTCAGTCTATATAGGAAGTCGTCTTTTTACATATTTTTTTTCTCCACTTGGTTTTTAAAATCAAGAACTTAAGATCATATCAATGTTCTAGTACCCAACGCATCACAAACTTTTGGTGTCATAGACTAAAATGTAACTTCATTCTGCTCAGTAATATCTAGAAGGAACAATGTTTTCATTCATTAAGTCTGTTTTCCTAAGATAAACAGTTTAACTAACAGCAATTAGCCCCTCTCCCCTCTGCCTAGTCTTTGGGGAAAATAAGCTTATGAAGCTATTTTTTGATTTGCTGGGACAGATACAATAAAAAGTAAAACCTGTAGATTCAGAATAAGGCTGCTGTGGGCAGCTGGCATTGTAACCACTGCAATCACCCTGAAACCGTGAAACCAATTCTACTTCTCGGGCTCTGAACAGTTGGTTAAAGAGGAGCCATTAGCAATATATCAGAAATAAGCCACTTTCCAAGAAGTAGGCCTTGTCACCTGAAATTCTTCCCCTAAGTCCAGGAAACTAGGCAGACAGTACCAATCTCATCCTTTTCTTTCTGTTCATTTACCCCCAAAATGGGTTCCTTGACCTTTTTACATTTCTGGGTATAAAAAAATTGTTTAATTCAGGAGACTGATGCAGGAAAGTAAAGGAAAATTGATTTTTATTGTAATTACTTAGCTCAGGTACAGGAAAAGGACAATGAGAAGAGAGAAGTTAAGAAAACTAAAAGGGAAAACAGAATTGATTTTGTCAGCCAGTGGGGCAGGGAGGGTAAGAGACATAACAAAAAACTCTGGAAGACTAATAGGCAGGGAGAGAAAGGAAGGCGTCTAGAGATCATCAGATCTAGTGAGAGTAAGAGAACGAGAAATCTGAAGAGTGTAGATGTCATCAGAGAAATCTATTCTATAGACATGCTATCTATAAGCAGTATTTATTAGCCACTGGGACTAATCCTAGGTATAGTCTAGTTTACAAATTTTTAAGTTTAGTAGCTCTTGTAACCCAAACAGGAAATCACTAGAGTGAAGATGTTCATGTGGTCAGATCACCTCAGATCACCTCTGAGGTCTTCCAGTCTAAGGGGAAGCCTCTACCAGAGGTAAAGGTAAGTCCTTGACCACTAAGCATTAAGAACACCTGGATAACACTTTGTTTTTTTAAAGCAGCCTTTTAAAACTATAAAATACATGTCCATTATAAAAAACAACACCTAAAACATAGGAAGTACAAATATGAAGACAAAAATCACAATCAGATGCCACTATTACACTGTATCGTTTATCTTTCTGAGTGCTTACTCATATTTATTATTTATAAATATAATTATGTAGTGACACTGTCATTTAAAAATACCTCACAAGCATTTTGCCAAATCACTGACTACTTCTCTTTTACTTGGTTTTTAACAACTGCCTATTATTCCATGTGTATGTAAATGCTATAATTTAATCAACTTCATGTTTAGTGATCCTTTAGGGTCCTTCCAAGATATCAATATTTTAAACATATCAGTGAATATTCTTGTTCACATGTTTATATATACTTCTATTTATAGAATAAATTTATTATTCTGTTACTTATAATTCTATTATTTATTATTAAATTTATTTAGGTAAGACATCCCCCAAAATACATTCATGGAGTTAAAAGGTTTACATAAGACTTTATCTTTCTTTTCTGTATGAAGCCAAACTGTACATCAAAAAGACTAAGATGTACCTTCCTTTATGCTACATATTCTTTTTTTTTTTTTTTTAGGTTATTTATTTATTTGACAGAGAGAGACACAGTGGGAGAGAGAACAGAAGCAGGGGGAATAGGAGAGGGAGAAACAGGCTTCCCACCAGACAAGGAGTCTGATACGGGACTTGATCCTAGAACAGTGAGATCTTAACCTGAGCTGAAGGCAGACATTTAGTGACTAGCCACCCTGGCACCCCGATGCTACATATTCTTTCAAAAGCTATTTCTAAGTCAATTTTAAAATACTGAGTTATATTTTTGTCTGTCCTGGACTGTTAGCATTTAAGGAATGCTGTAGGAAATCCATCTGTAAAACAAACAATCATCCCTCGATGTACCTTTTCTGTATGCTTTACTTTCTTCAAACCAAGTTTTTTTAAAGTGAGGGGCATGCATAGATTATAATCTAAAGAAAATCTTTGATAATGTCCTTTTAACTAGAAGTATTTAAGTGAAATATGTATATTATATCATCTTTAAGTGATCTACAATAATTTCTATTAAAATAATATTTGTTAATTAAATAGAAACACTCTGATTATATTAAAGGTTATTAATTACCATTTTCTGCATTTTCCCACAGGAACTTTCTGACCCACTTTTTGAACTGCAGAATAGTAGCATTGTCAGGGACTTCGAGTCCAACAGTATAAAGTTTTTTATAATGAATGCTTTTAGGTAAATCCTAGAAACAAAGGAAAATAGAATGCAACAGTTATATCATTAAAAAAACATATTCTTCAACCTAATGAAACTTACCATTCAGTATTTTTTAGATCAGGTACAATGATTATACTGAAGGCACACTTCAGATCAATTTGTGCAGAACTCTTTTGTTTTTTACTAAAGATTTTATTTATTTATTCTCAGAGAGAAAGAAAGAGACAGTGAGCATTGTGTAGAAGTGGAGGCAGGGGCATAGGGAGAAAGAGACTCTCAAGTAGACTCCCTGCTAAGCATGGAGCCTGACATAGGGCTTAAGCTCATGACCCTGAAATCTAAATCAAGAGTCAGATGCTCAACAGACTGAGCCATCTACGTGCCCCTATTTGTGTGGAACTCTTTTGTAGTCTACATAAAAAGAGGCTATAAAATAAGCCTAATTCCTAGAGGCCAATGATAAGGATTCAAGTGATAAAGCAGGCACAGTGTCAACCTAATATACTAGCTTGAAGTGTTAACTCCAGGGGCACTTAGGTGGCTCAGATAGTTAGGCATCTACCTTTGGCTCAGGTCATGATCTCCAGGTCCTGGGATTGAGCCCCACATTGGGCTCCCAGCTCAGTGGGGAGTCTGCTTCTCCCTCTCCCTCTTCTTCTCTCCCTGCATGTGCTCTCTCTTTCAAACGAATAAATAAAAGATCTTAAAAAAGATAAAGTGTTAACTCCATACTTGGTGTTACAATTCTAGATATCAGCTTAGGTTATGTAGTAAGCCTATTTTAATATTTTCCTGACTCATTCTTAAGTTTGCAAGGGAGTCTAAAGTGGAGACCCTAAAAAGGGAAGGGATAATTTAATCATTTAAGTACAATCAATCAATTAAGTAAAATCAATTAATCAACTAACAATATTCATTTAAAGAATATCAAGGTGATGAGTATAAATGTTTATGGTCAGATCCTAGGAGAAGGTAATAGTTTTGGAAAAATAAGGATAATAACCTTTGAACAGTTATATGCCAAAAAAATACACATAACAGTCCAGCAAAAGCTGTAAATGTTAGGCCTTGAAGAATAGGTAGAGTTTTGGACAGGGAGAGAGAGGAAAAAATTCCAAGTTTCTGGAATGACTTAAGACGCAGAATCAAGAATGTTCATGAGATAGTGAAGAGATGGTTTGTTGTGAAACAGAGAAGAGCCTGATGAGAAGGGGGTCAGATTAAATTGGGCCTTGAAAAACAGAGAGAGGAGTTCAGATGTGATGCATTCAAACGGGGGGAGGGCAGAGAGACCTGATATATTTTTTTTTTTTTAGGAAGGACCTGGAATGGGCATGAAAATTATGTTTAGGCACAACTAGTCAAAGATATGTAAAAAAGGCTAGCTGTTGAATAATAAGGTAAAAGATCTGGAGAAAATGAGACACATTTTAGAAGGAAAAAATCTACAGGGTTTGAAGACAGAGGACTCAAATGATTTAAACCCAATACGCTCAGTAATGGTGCTCTCAGGTGAAACAGGGCAGCTGAAGAGACTGCAAATTTGTATTTTTGGGAAGCAGTGGTATGGAAGTAAAGAAATGATGGTGTGTTTAGTTACATGTACGTTGAAGATATCAAAGACTACATGTCACCTAATCAGGGCAGGAATGACAGATGACATCTTTGATGGCACCAATCCAATCAAATAGCAAGGCTCAAGAGTTATTTTCCTCTGTAACAAAGTTTTAAAATTCTCTTGCTCTCCACAGCCCTTAGCTAAGTCATGTCACTAAGACTTGGGACAGGGAGGGGAGGACTAGAGGATGATGAGGCCTAGTGGATCCTAATCTCCTGCTTTAGCCAGCACAATTCCCTGCTTATCTGCTTTTTATAATGGGCTTTAGATCAAGATTTAATTGAAATGATTTTGCTGTAAAAAAAAAGTTCAAAAAACACTGTTGTACAATAATATGTATCTCATGTTTTTTCTTTTCTCTTTTTTCTGTTGCTTTCTTTTCCACCATGCTACTCTTTCCCTCGGTTTCCTTGTTCCCTTTTGTGCTTTTCCTTTTTTATTTCTATGTACACTCAATTTACTCTATATATTTGTTCTCTTAGAAGAAAAATATTCCATTTTTTTCCTCTCTGCATAATCCATGATTTTAGGAAAAAAAGGTACTATATGATTATGTGAAGGATTAAGAGATCTCTAATAAATTCCACATGGGAAATTCTGAAATTTGTATTAAAATAACCATAGAGTTGCTTTCTTTAAAATGCAATATTAAAAAATCTTTTCTATTTCAAGATGTATCTATGATAACAAAATACATTTGTAACTTTACCTTAACTTCATAATATCTTGTGGTGTATGTTAGATCGATAATTAATCCAAGTTCCACATTTAGTGCTTTTATTGCACTTATCAAATCTTTTGGTGTAAACTTCTGGGTTGGAGTAAGTCTCTGATTAACTGCCTATAATGAAAAATGAACAGTAAGGTTATGAAATACAGATAAAATATACCTAACATAAAATAAAGAAGGAAAAGAAAAAACATAAGAAGACAAAAAGAATCAGTGAAAAGTGTCATAGCTTTAAGAACACTGGCAAATCTCATAATGAACTGGAGCTGTGACAAGAGCCTAAACATATTTACATCATCTGCTTCAGTGATTTTATATATGTCCTTGTCACCAAGGACTCAGAACACTTTAAAAAGGGACTATCCTGCTTGGATCCACTGGAATTTTCTTACACCAAATTCAGTTTAAAATAAAGTTATTAACCATGAGTGAAAAATAGTTTTGTAGTAGAGTTCTCATTTGAACTGAGGCTTTGAAAAGTTAAATTACTTGCCCAACACCACAGGCTAGATGGCAGTTAAGATTTTAACCCAGAAATTTTTACTTTTATCCAGCTCATGATACCAGTCTGACTCATTTGATTAAATGTTCACTTTCTCCCAGATATGAAGATTCTTAGTTTCCATATTTATATAAAGTAGAGTGAGAATTAGTTTTGGTCAACATTTACAGATGTTACCAGCATTCTTCTGGTGTATTTGTTATTGCTCTCAGTGGTATGTGCTGATAGTATAACAGATTTGATTTTTGTATTATATGATTAATAAGAAAAAAATCAGTTAACATAATGCACTACAAAGCCGAATATAAATAAGTTTAAAAAAGTTCAAGTTTAAAAAATTAATTCAACTTGGGAATAAAAAGAAATGAACTATATGCTACATGAATGAATCTTGAAACATGCTAAGTGAAAGTAGCTAGTCACAAAAGGTCACAGACTTTATGATTCTCTTATATGAAATGTCCAGAACAGGTAAATCTACACAGAAAGTAGATTAATGGCTGCCAGGGGCCGGGGGAGGGGAAATGGGGAGTGGCTACCAATGAGTACAGGGTTTCTTTTTGAGGTGATGAAAATGATCTGAAATTAGTGTCATTGATTACACAACTCTATGACTATATTAAAAACCACTAAGATACTTTAAAAAGGTGAATTTTATGGTATGTGTATTAAAGTATTAATTATATTAAATATATTTAAAAAGTAACTTTAAATTACTTCTCAATATATTAAAAAAGTAACTAAAAGACCTGTGAAAGGGAAAAATCTGAGTTAAATTAGGAGGCCACTATAAAAGATTCTGAACTGTGTGCTCACACATTCCCAATGTCAGAGCAAGTAGGAGAAACTAAAGCTGCCACAGATCTGAGGCCATGTAAAATATGACATGGGTTTCAAGTATCTTTTGATTTTTTTAGGAAATTCTACGCAAAGGGTTTCACAAATTAGTAAAGGAATGCTGATTTTTTCGCGGGGGGGGTGGTTACTTGAAAGATATCCATCTTTATTTTTGGATTATAACTTTTAAGTAGATCAAAATATAAAAAGCAAAAATAACATTACGATTCAAGATATTTTCTCTCAAAAAAGGTATTTAATCTTGTTAAATGCTTTCAATAAAGCAAGTTGAACCCTTAAAAAATTAATTCAACTTGGCAACAGAAAGAAATGAGGTATGATACACACTAACATGGGTGAGCCTTGAAAACATTATGCTAAAGAAGCTAGTCACAGATATTATCATTCCATCCACAGGAAATGTCCAGAACAGTCAAATCTATGAAGACAGAAAAGAGACTAGTGGTTGTCTAGGAGGCAAGGGGTGGGAATGAGGGAGAAAGGGGAGGGACTGCTACTATGCATTTGGGAGGAAGTAAGGGTGATGAAAATGTTCTAAACTTGTAGTGACTGTTGCCCAACTCCATGAACACACTAAAAACCACTGTGTACTTTAAATAGGTGAATGTCAATAGGTGAATTACATACCAATAAAGCTGTTATTAAAAAATTAGTCCAAAACTACTCCCTTACACTAGCATGAACAACTGATAATTACATGTATGAAAAATTAACTGTTCCTTCCATAATGTCAAACATTTGCTGGAAATTTCACATATTTTTATGAAAAAAAAAAAAAAAGCATAACATTAAGTAAACATGGATCACATTAGTCCCAATTCTCCTTATAAGATAGATGAGAAAATGATATACATACTCCCTTTAAAGGAACTTTAAAAGCAATAAATCGTGTTCCAGGTAGAGGATGTCCAATTGGCGTCACAGTCCTCCACCTGCAATGAAAATAAACAACTAAATTATAATACAAATATTTTAATAACTCAAGATGGTAAATAAAGAGACTATTTTTTTTAATAAATAAAGCTTCACTTGTTGGTTAGTTGCTTTTTGAGTGCTATCATGCATGAATTTTAATTTACTGCTTCCTCCCTTAAAAAACACAAAAACAATGGAAGGTTTTACATAGGTACAGCACTTCTACAGTAAATAAGGCAGCATTCCTTCCTGATAAACTTCCAGTGCCCAAAATGATATTGTCTTTGTTTTTCTTGGGCAACAGTAAGAGAAGGAAAATAGTTTATGAATTTTGCATCACTGTCACTGATTATATATTAAGTAAAAAGTGGTAAAAGGTATTAAATGTGGGAATAATACAAGTAAAATATGAAAACCTACAGTGGTTTTTTAAAAAAGATTTTATTTATTTATTTGACGGAGGGATAGACATAGAATGCACAAGTAGACAGAGTGGCAGGCAGAGAGAGGGAGAGAGAGAGAAGCAGGTTCTCTGCTGAGCAGGGAGCCCGATGTGGGGCTTGATCCCAATACCTTGCAATTGTGACCTCAGCAGAAGGCAGCCCGTTACCCAACTGAGCCACCCAGGTGCCCAAAACCTACGGTGTTTTTAGTAAGTAGGAAACAAATCATTTTCTCAACATGATTATTTTGGATACGTCTTGTCTTAATTTCTGATTAATCTTGAATTAAGAACTATAGTTCATTAACTTTAAACATTTTGATTTATCTATGATGACTTTTTATGAATAACAAAGAGAAATCTGGTATTAAAAATAACTCCTAGTCATATAATTATTCCCAAGTTATTTTTGATAAATCCCAATTATAACACATGAAGATTTCTTAAAATGAGCACTTTAATTCCCTGCTTACTTCTCCAGCTTCATTTCTGTACCATCCTTTTCTTCTCCAGGCTCTGGCTGCACACTGTTTCCTTTCCTTAGTCCTTGCAATGTTCCATACTATTCCTTCTCCCATTTCACTCCTTTAGTCACCCTCAGCTTGCAGCTCCAGTACTAGTTCTCAGGAACGTCTCTGTTATCACCCATTCCCATTAGACATACCCTTCACCTTCCTTCCTGGCACTTAACAGTTTGTAACTATACACATGATTATGTGACTTTTTTTTTTTTTTTTTTTGGGCAAATCATGGTTTCTCTCTTCATCATAAACTGTGAGACTGACCATGTCTGTCTTTCCTCACAGTACAATGCCTGCCACACCAGATACTCCATAAATATTAAATAAATGTTGAATAAGCTTGGTTTCATAAAATCACTATTTAACGTACTGATTATACATGATTAACAGCTGACTTGTCATTAAGAATAATGAAGGTCAGAGGTAATAGGATGACATTCAAATGTGGAAAAAAAATATATAGCCAAGCAATTATTCTGTATCATTCTATATCCAGCAAAACTATCCTTCAAAAAAGGAGTGATAACTATGTTCTAGTCTTTTGCTTTGTAAGAACAGAAATTTGATTCTGATAATTTATCTGAAGTTGAAAAATATAGTTTCTCAAGTTTTTAAATACAATCCAAATGCTACCATAATCCAATAACAAAGCAATGATGTTGGACTAGGTTTCTTTCTCTTTAAAAATTAGAAAATGATTTCTAGCATAGTAAAAGGCTTTACTTACAAATAAAAAGGCCTCATTTTTACCTTTAAATAACTCATTAACTCTTAGATTTTTGCTTGTGACTTTTTTAAAAGATCATTTCTCTGATGGAATTCTTCACTTGTGGAATAAGATGCCCTTGAATACTTCTGACATTTATCTTTTCCTCAACAGCACATCTAATTCTACTATCATGAATGGCATTCAATTATACTACAATAATTCCATAAATATGTTCATCTTTGTTTTGATATCCAGCTGGAAGCTGTACTTTTTGTACTAACAATACAAAGGAACCATATGGAAGCAATATCGGACCATCTGCTAATATTGCCAACATTATTACATATATTACTGTAACATGCACTTTTTTTTTTTGTGGACAAAACCTTTTATTAGTTTATTTACAGGCCTTATCAGTGCTCCTGGTAGTATCATTAAAAAGACCATTACCTAACTTAGAAAATGCCCATCTTTTCAACTGTAGTCATTTCCTATTGCCTATGGCTGCTATGGTATGCATTTCACTCAGCATGGTTTGCCTACCAGGTTGTCCTCTGCTTTTTGCCTTAATTCCAAGCTGCCTGATGAATTCCCCTTCCATTAAGAAAAAAGCCTACTCAGAGAACGAAGTTCAAATGGTCAAGATTCAGTTGTTTTATCAAATGCACCAGTGCTGTGATTTGCCAGCTATCTAATGCCCAAAATTAGATGGTTATCACCCAAATACTATTAGTTTATCTATTACTATATGCAATTATAAAATCACCACAGTAATCTTTCTTAACTTCCAACTATCATTCAATATTCCAGTTTTGGAATGACACTTGGAAAAACCTCCAAAATAACTTCAAACTAAAAACAAAGCTTACCCTACACTCCAGTCCAAATTTGAGTATTATCTGACCATCACACCTCTTCAAACTGGGCTTAATTTAATCTCCAGTTCCCTCTTCACCCCAAACTTGCTTTTTAAAGATGAAAATTCCTATTTTAAGTCGATTTCTAGTTCTTATGTGACTGTAGAAAACTTGTAGCTAGACTTTCTTCTAAAATCTAGAGAAAAATTAACTCTACCATTAAGAATGTCACCGAATGCCTGTTTTAGGTGAACTACTTTACAATATTTATAAATGGAACATTAAGCACTCCAATAAGCGGGAAATTAAAATGTGACAATGTATCAAGTTTACTCCCTAGTGATAAAAATAAGTTTTATATGCAACACATTAACTTTGGTATTACAGAATTTAACCTGCTTATAGTACAGACTGTCTTGTGGTCACTCTTTGCTTATGTAAGCTGTGTTGCACTAAACGACCTTTTTCCCATAGCTTTTTACTATGTACTTAACCATTTCCTTTCCTTAGACAAAGTGAAAACTCCAAGATCCCACCCAGGAAAAAAATGTTACCCAAAATTTCAGTTTCGGCATATTTTAACATTAGAAAACAGGATCTATGCAACTTACCCTTCCTTTTACTTAATAGTACAAGGTTACAGTGTTGACCAAAAGAAGACACAGATTTCTCATTAAACTTTTGTTTTAATGGGTCTCAAAATTCTGTGACAGATTTTTGGTCAAATTGTTTCCATTAAAAAGTACTGATTTTAAAAACTAATAACTTAAAACTGCCACACACACACAAAAAAACAAATGGTCCACAAAACATTCTCTTTTCCTTCTGAAGGTTTTACGATGCATTGTTATCATTAACCAGTCTTTTACTATTAAACTTAAATGGCCAATTGACAGAAACAGTTCTGAGACCGTTCTTCCACCACTGATTAAGACTGGGGTGGCAGGTATTGGGGATAATATTCATTTAGCCTTCTGAGCTTTCTGGGCAGACTTGGTGACCTTGCCAGCTCCAGCTACCTTCTTGTCCACTGCTTTGATGACACCCACAGCAACCGTCTGTCTCATGTCACGAACAGCAAAACGGCCCAGAGGAGGATAGTCAGAGAAGCTCTCAACACACATAGGCTTGCCAGGAACCATATCAACAATGGCAGCGTCACCAGATTTCAAGAACTTGGGACCATCTTCCAGCTTTTTTCCAGAACGACGATCTATCTTCTCCTTCAGCTCAGCAAACTTGCAAGTAATGTGAGCTGTGTGACAATCCAGCATATCCAGCACTAATTTGGCCTGGATGGTTCAGGATAATCACCTGAGCTGTGAAGCCAGCTGCTTCCATTGGTGGGTCATTTTTGCTGTCACCAGCCACATTGCCACGACGAACATCTTTGACAGATACGTTCTTGACATTGAAGCCCACATTGTCCCCAGGAAGAGCCTCACTCAAAGCTTCATGGTGCATTTCAACAGACTTGACTTCAGTTGTAACATTGACTGGAGCAAAGGTGACCACCATGCCAGGTTTAAGAACACCAGTCTCCACTCGGCCCACAGGGACAGTACCAATACCACCAATTTTGTAGACGTCCTGGAGAGGCAGACGCAAGGGCTTGTCATTTGGACGAGTTGGTGGCAGAATGCAATCCAGAGCTTCAAGCAGTGTGGTTCCACTGGCATTCCCATCTTTACGGGTGACTTTCCATCCCTTGAACCAAGGCATGTTAGCACTTGGCTCCAGCATGTTGTCACCATTCCAACCAGAAATTGGCACAAATGCTACTGTGTCGGGGTTGTAGCCAATTTTCTTAATGTAGGTGCTGACTTCCTTAACGATTTCCTCGTATCTCTTCTGGCTGTAGGGTGGCTCAGTGGAATCCATTTTGTTAACACCAACAATTAGTTGTTTTACACCCAGTGTGTAAGCCAGAAGGGCATGCTCACGGGTCTGCCCATTTTTGGAGATACCGGCTTCAAATTCACCAACACCAGCAGCAACAATCAGGACAGCACAGTCAGCCTGAGATGTGCCTGTAATCATGTTTTTGATAAAGTCTCTGTGTCCTGGAGCATCAATGATGGTCACATAATACTTGCTGGTCTTGAATTTCCACAGGGAGATATCAATGGTGATACCACGTTCACGTTCAGCTTTCAGTTTATCCAAGACCCAGGCATACTTTAAGGAGCCTTTTCCCATCTCAGCAGCCTCCTTCTCGAATTTTTCAATAGTTCTTTTGTCGATCCCACCACATTTGTAGATCAGATGACCAGTAGTGGTAGACTTGCCCGAATCTACGTGTCCGATGACAACAACGTTGATATGAGTCTTTTCCTTCCCCATTCTGGCTTAGGTTGAGCGGTGGTTTTCACGACACCTGTGTCCTGGCGGCAAACCCGTTGAGAAAAAGCAACATGCACTTTTTTCAATCCATTTATTTCCACAACTAATGCTTCCAGAATGACATAAATGATGGTATCTAAATAAA